TGGAGATTTCTGATTTTTCAGCTCATTAGAAGAATGAACTGTTAGATATGGCTGAATTCGCAGTTTTACAGATATAGTCCAGATATCCAAATTGGACAAAGTCCAAAGGGCCTTTGTCCCTGAAGGACTATTGTTTTCATTTTGCGATTTTGTGTTGATTCACTACAAACGGCGAATCACTTTTCAAACTGTTGCCACAAACTATTATCGCCCTGTGTTATATTTAAAGAAATTAGGTAATGAAAAATCTGCATAAATATATGTATATTTCTCGCGTTGGGATAAAATAACGGTATATAGAGCCACCGAATTTTGAATGACGTAATCCTCCTACGAATATGGGCATGTGGAAGAGCAAACCGAAATTTGGAATTGGAATTTATTATCGATTTCCTATTTTATAAAACGTTAATGAATTTTTGATTAACAGACTCAAGGATTTCAAAGCAAGCAATGGCACGTTTTACAGAAAAAACATTTTTATTTCCAGCGCGTGAGTCTATGTATCGGGAAATGCTCATTTTAAAACTGTTTTGCGATACTGCTGTTTTACTGAATTTTATGGTTTAAGTGCGAAGAACGTGATATTAATTAAATAAATGTAACGCACAAAATGTTAAAAAAAGGCACTTTGGACGTAATTTAAAATCTGAAACATTTCAGATTTTCTTTTTTTTTTTTTTTTTTTTTTTCTTTTTTAGTCCAAAGATGCTTTGTCCCTGAAGGACTATTGTTTTCGTTTTGCGATTTTACGTCGAAACTCCATAAACCGCGTATCACTTTTCAAACCGTTGCCGCCAAATACTATGACCCTGTATTATATTTGAATAAAATAAATAATGAAGAATCCGCATAAATGTGTATGTGTTTCTCGCATTGTGATAAAACAACGGTACCTAGAGCCATCGAATTTTGAATGGCGTAATCCTACTGCGAATATGGGCATCTGGAAACCCAAATTTGAAATTTGGAATTTGTTTCATTATTGATTTCATATTTTTTAAAACGAATTTATGATTAACAAACTCAACGATTTAAAAGCGAGTAGTGGTAACACTTTACGGGAGTGGGGACTTTTTATCTCCAGCGCGCGGAACTGTGTATCGGAAATTCTAAAGATATGCTCATTTTAAAATTATTTTGCGACATTGCTATTGAACTGAATTTTATGGTTTAAGTGCAAAGAACATGATATTTAATAAATAAAGGTAACACACAAAATGTTAAAAAAAAAAAAAAAAAAAAAAAAAAACGCCCGTGTGGACGAAATTTAAAATTCGAAACCTCTCAGATTTTTTGTTTTATATTGTTTTCGTTTCAAGTTTCAAATATAAACATCTGTGTTGTTCAATATGATTTATGACACATGATTAGCATTTCAACCGTCTATCATAACAAGCCACCATTTCTAAAAATATTATCGTTAATGTCAGCACCACAGTAATACGTCACAGAAACGGAATGTGCTAACTATTTCTTTTAGATAAATTCAAACTGTCTATAAAATAAGTATACATATACCGTTATTAAAAAATTTTAATGACTGAACTGTTTAACGTGTTGTACCATACCAGGATTTCTGGTTCAAGTTATATTAAAAAGAAATCTACTGTCAGAACGCAAGCCGCATTTATCAGCCAAGGACAGCATGCGTTTCATATGCAGCAGTCTGCCCTTGCCTGAGTAAACTGCACGAATAACTTGTCCCCCTCCGCCCCCTCAAAATATAAATAATTGTTTGAAAAACTTAGAAATCTAGCACCTTAGCATAAGCGGATTGGTATAAAACTGGTGGGGTTCTTATTTTCAAATGGAACACAATCATTATTAATAATAAAACTAAATAACACCACTTAAATAAAAAAAATTTTTTTACATATTAAGTTATACTTTACATCAGAAAAGAATTCCATTCACTAGGGCTGCTATAAATATATCTAAAAGTTTTTTTGAAATCGCAAAGAGAAAGAGAGAGAGGAAAAAAAAAAAGATTTCCAAAGCCTAGCCGAATATCTATAAATAAATGAAATGTTGTCGAGAGAGGACGGCTAATGGAAAGTGCTAATCTGATGTAAAAGTGGGTGTTTTATGGCTGGTCTTAAATCAAGGAGGCCGGGGGAGTGCCAGGAACCGCGTGTCGCCCCCGACCCTCCATTCATAACCTCTCCGGCTGCTCGAACGAGTTCGGTATACGGGATGCCCGACGTTCGAAGCACGTTCCTCCTGTCTTTCCACTCTGACATGCGCCATGATACACATTTTGAAATTCTGTTTCTCTGAAATAATAAAGTAAAAAAGGGGGGAAATTGCACAAACGTAGGCGTCGCCCCATACCAACTTCAATTCGACGGTTGTGAATCTCATTGATTAGGAAATTCGAATTCTGAGGTTACTATTAATGATGAAACATAAACCAGCTACATGATCTACATCAGGGTGAATTCGCCAATAAGAAAACCAAACAAAAGACAAATGAATTCGAAACTATATTAACAATTCAAATATACTTGTGGGTGTGGAAGTAATCAATTCTCCCTTGAATGCTTCTCAAAGTTTAGCTGTGCAGAAAATACGGTTAAAATGTAGCATTTGATTGTAAGGAAAGCAAACCATCTTCAGTAAGTAATTCGATATTCGGAAAAATTGTCGGAAAATGCCAAGTAGTTAATATACAGTGATGCGTAACTTCAGAAATGATAATTTCACTTAGTTCTGATACCAAGGTAGGTTGATGACTTACTTTCCTAACTTTTTCATGAAAATCTATTTTGTTAATAATAAAGCTCCTTCTAAGCTGCACGTTTGCAAAATCGCGTTTTTATGATGTCGCACAATGAATTTTACTTGCCGCCCACAAGCTCTGATTATTACTGAAGGCCCAACGTCCCAGATCATTTGCAATCCCAGATCAGATTCCATAGGATCTTAATGCTTCGTATGTTGATGTTCTGAAGTCGACTGTCTGCGCGAACAGGGCTCGATTAAGAAGTCTGGGCCCTAGATATAGCTTTCTTTTAGGGGATCTGAATACTCATTTCCCCGGTTTTAGTAAGAGAGAAAGAGATTTATGAGAATTCGCAAATGATATGGGACTCCTAACTGGTCTGGGATTGTAAATGATCTGGGACGTTGGGCCTTAAGTAATAATCAGACCTTGTGTACCGCAAGTGAAATTCATTGTGCGACACCACAAAAACGCTATTCTGCAAACGTGCAGCTTAGAAGGAGCTTTATTATTAACAGAATAGATTTTTCATAAAAAAATTAGAAAATTAAGTCATCAACCTACCTTGGTATCAGATCGAAGTGAAATTATCATTTCTGAAGTTACGCATCAATGTATATTCACCACTTGGCATTTTCCGACAATGTACATCGAATTACTTATTGAAGATGGTTTGCTTTCCTTTCAATCGTAATTGACAAAAAATAGCGGAAAATCCTTCTTTATGAATGCAGGTATGACATATAACTTTTCGAGCGGATCCTACCTTAGTTTTTAACCTTATCCTTTTAACAGATTTAATGTAAATAAGGAATACATGATGAACATAACTGTAAGAATATGGGATAAAAATTACTGAAAATTCTGAGGCATTTTTTAGTTTTTAAGTTTAGGCTGCCTTATCAGATATTAATTAGTGTATGAATTCAAACAGAGTTATAAAAATTCACATACGCATTAACAGAAAATTGAAAAGAGAATAACTGCCTCAACTAAATAATCTGTATTATTAAAAAAATTTAACATAAGAGTAGTTAATCATATTTATTTAATCAAAAAAGCTTTGTTGAAAAAAACTATACGGTATTTAATTAAGTTCTGTTTCTATTAATTTTCTATACTGCGGAGCTCTGCAGAATAACTTTCTCTTATATTTGAAAAGAATATTCAGCGTAAAGTAAGTTTCGTCTATGCTACCTTTCCCATTCATATCCAAGATTATAATAATGCAAAGAGGAATTTAAATTTCCCTCGATTTAATATTTGTACTCTTTCAAAAGATTTTCATGATGAAAAATTATTTGTTGAATGACAAGTACAAAGAACATTCTTAGGGCGACCACCTTTCTAAAAGACAACGACCAGACAACGACAATGAAAGTTACTAGGGTTTTTAATTAATATAAATAATCATCTATATTCAGCATAGTATTTCTAACATGACCACCTCTAAGGAAGTCTAAAATCGTCATTAGCGGTAGATGTCATCTTAGGCACATATCACACATGCATTTGTTTCATACGAACAACTGTTTCGGACAATTTTTCGGTCCGGTTTACTCTTGAAAGAAAGACGTGCGATGTTTTCCTTCCTTTTGAAAAAAATTGCAAGTTTGTTTTCAGGTATCAGTTTGTTTGTAATGAAGAACCGGTTTCCCCTTTACATGTTAACCCCAAAGCGATCTGTGGTGATTGGCTGTTGTGACAAAGCAAAAAAAAATTGTTCCAAACAGCAGTTCTTCCGAAACAAACGGATGTGCGATAGCAGCCTAGAGAGAATTCATTGTACTTCAGATAGAATCGGAATTATTGCATCGAAATCATTTTCGGTAATACCTATTTTACTTTCTTCGTATAAATTTTAGAAAGCATTTTTATCTTAAATGATATAATCAAATATTTAGTTATTAAATTAAATGACATAAACCAAACCAGATATACCGCTTGGTAAAATTCCATGCCTATTCAACACAAATACTTATATAATACTTATCAATCATATACACAAGAAACAATTATATATGCAATAGTAAAAATCTAACCTTCAGTTCTACATAAGGAATAAACAAAGGAATATATACAGATAAAAAAATGATGTATTTTATAGCCTAACAGAACTTCGATTAACTGGAGGAAATACCTGAAGTTATCAATTTACGCTCTTCAGAGGGAAAACTTCTTTTCAGATAAGAAGTTTCTTTTAAATTTATAAGTTCTGTAAAAGGTACTTTTAAACTTAAAAAAAAGGTACTTAAGACATAGAAAAGAGTTTACTTACCCTTAAGATGCGATGCTGCATTTTGCTTTCAGGCCTGGCTACTCGAGGCAATGATCACAATTTCGACTTGGTGTATACTCGTGCCATACTGATATGCTGTACGGGGAAACTGAAAAGAAAGCACTGAGGGAGAAAAGAGGACGAGAATTTTTTGGCACCTCCACCATAAATTAATTGATTTTATTGAATTTTTGGTCAATGATATTTTCCACCGAAATTATGATCAAAAGATCATACAATTTCGGAGTGCCTCTTCATATGCAGAGACAAATGGTCCGACCTGGAGAATGCCCTTTCGCACAGTCTGCATTGGAAAGGCCTGTCTCCAGTATGTTTTCTGTAATGCCTCGTCAATTCATCCGATCGGGCAAACTTCCAACCACAACCTTTCCAGTTGCACTGGTAGGGCTTTTCGCCCGTATGTGTCCTCAAGTGAGCTTTCAAGTGCGAGCTTTTAGAGTAAGTTTTGGAACAACCTGGATAAGAACAGGTGTGAATGGTCACTTTTTTAGGTCCTCTGGATCTGCGACCCCTCCTTGGTTTTGTAGTAGGGGTGGGAGCAGTAACTCCAGAATTTAAAGTCTGTTCGATGCTCACTCCACCTGGAGTAGGTAATATGGTCATCCCTGCCGCCGCTCCTCTGCCTGAAAGCAAATCTACCAGGTGTGGAGAGTTCGGAGGGGTGACCATCCTTCCCTGTGGAACATATGAAGTTGGAAAAGCTGACTGCATTAGATGATTTGCAGGCACATGATTCGGTCGCGCGGGTGGAAGCCTTTGCATAGGTGGATTATTGAAATAATTGTCATACTGGTTCAGAGTATGCTGATACCTCATTCCAGGAGTACTATCCGGTGTTGCTGGCGGAGAGGAATGACTAGTGACGATAGGTGATGGATATGTGTTCCATGGCGATGCCAAGTATCCACTGCTACCTGTGTTATTAGATATGTCCCGATTATGGACAGGAGGAGAACAGAAAAGTCCACCTGCTGTTGGATCCGGCTTCACGTCCACTATGGACGATCCGTACCTGAGTTGCTGATTGTGCCCCGATTGGTAATCATGAGTTCCAAACATATTCACTGGCTCTGAGGTATGATGCTCTATCGGTGCATTATTTGGCAAACTTAAGTCGTATTTGTTTACAGAGACTTGCTGAATATTTGAACCCGTTGAGTCTTCACTGTAGTGTTGTTTGGGTTGAGATTCATAAACGAGTCCCAGTTCCGTCTCGAGCCTTACCACATCGCCACCTCTCTTGTGTACCGTATGGTGGTGAAATGATGGTGGTTGCGGAGAAAAAGTGGGAGATATTGGTTGGTTGTACTGTGAGCACCGCCGCTGAGTAGTATGGTTGTTGGGAGTGGATAAGTGCACGGAAGACATGCTCCCTCCACCACTGTCGTCTGTAGTAGGAGTGAAAGAGCTATGTGTGGAAGATAAAGTTCTCATTTCCGAATATCCGGAAGTCGAGTTGAGTGTCATATCACCTAATAAGACACTTTCGATATCTTGCCACATCTAAAAGAAAAGAAGAGAATAATCCGAATTTAGTTATCTGGCATAAATATTTTATATCCAAACATTTGTTAATTTTAGGTCAGTTTTTTATTGTTTTAGCCAACCAAAGTTCCAATTCGTAGGTATTTAAAAATTTTCATCTTCATCTAATGCTAATCAAAAATTTCATAATGTAAGTTTATGTTCGGCATGTTTACATATTCTAGAGAGAGTAGACAAATAGATCATCGTGAAAATTGTCATATATTATTCTGTCATAATTCTGAAAGAGTAAATATATAAGATAACATTTTTACAATGTGGCTAATGTTATTACTAAACAGTAAGAATTATCACCAGGTGTTGAATATGACTGCATAAGAGAATTTTAATCTGCTAGTTAAGCAAATTGTTTAATAAGTACAGTTAAATCCAGACGGGTGTAATTTAAGATGATTTAAGATGAATTTAAGATGGAGGAAATTTTAATTTCAATAGCTAAGATTTAATCGAATAAGACAAAAGAGGATTTAATTTATAACCTATGCGGCAACACATTTTTGGCTTCTTAAAATTAAAAAAATTAGTAATGAGTAATTAATTGATAGAAAATTTAAACTTTTAATTTCTCAAAGACTTCTCTATATACAAAAGTATTTTCCCTTTTTTGACAGAAAAGACCGCAAAATATTTCAAATTAAATTTTTTATTGAGAAAAGTCACTGTTTAGTTTCAAATTCGGAAATTCTGCGCAGGAAAACAAAGGAAAATTACCAACTGAATCAAGAGAACTTTTTGAAAAAAATGACCGAAATTACTTGATCCCAATAATTCCATTGCAAGCTCTTATTATTATTGCCAATAAATTTTGCTGTGTACTTGTATAAATGAATTACCGAAAGAGCCTTAATTATTTTTCTATTATTGCTATACTAATAATTATTTTTGCGTCATTCCTTAAGTAATGTGGCTTTACCTTACGCACACTGAGAGAACAAAATCTCGGTTTAGCAGTATATTTCACCAACTCCCATCAGCCCATTCAAAGTCTGTCAGTATTTAAAAACTGTAAGGAAAGTGTCTGAACTTGTTAGTGGGTTTCATATAAATTGTCCAAAGAGAATTTGAAACAAGAAATAGAAATCTGCCCATCTCAACTTTGAAAAAGTCGTTATTTTTGTATTGAATAATCACTGCATTCTTTGCAAGAACGAACACATACATTCTTTGCAATAACATAAAGAACAAAAGACAGTGCCTTGATAAAGAAATGGCCTATTTATAACACCGAAAGGAAACCTTCATGTATCAAAAATGCTATATATTTATTAAAAGAAATATGAAGAAAATAGCCTTTGATGCTCCATTTAACTTCTTCCTGAAAATCAAATTTTACTACACGGCTGCAATTTACTGAAAAGTCAAGGACTATCTAAATTAATCTTTTCGCATATATAAGATAAAAAATTTTTAAACCAGGAGTTCGAAAGAAGATCGAGTTTAAACCATTGTCATCCACAAACGAGTACATTACAAAAGGGCTATTATATGCAAATATTACAAATGTGCCCCTGTGGCCAACTGAGATAGGACTCGAATGTTTCGACCTCGATGGCATAATTAAAATGCTTTAGCTATGATACTCATAGCTTAAGGTTGTTATCAAAAAATATTTAGCTGCGCAAATTATATCTATGTTTTTCATATTCGATAATATGCTTTTGATGAAAAATCTTTAACTTAATTTCTTTAACTAAAAGAACACACGCCATTTTTATTTAATAACTAATTAAAAAAGCCTAGAATTATAACATAAGACTTGGATTACATATCCATTTGTATGTCAAAAAATGTTTTTAAGTTTCCCAAATTCAAGCATTTTTAATTACCGAATATCGAGACTTTAGGCAAGAACTTACAGTTTTTGATTAATAGCTAATTAAACAGTTCAATCATAGGAAAAACATATCATAAAATATTTAAAAAAATTTCTGTTTCTTACTAAAATATCGTTAGTTTTTATATAAGCACTTCTAGTGTGAGAACGCTCTGTGCTTAATCAACAAAACAATTGCTCTGTACAAATCCATAAGAGCAGTTTGTTTTACTTGCTACGGAGAGCAACTGAATGTAAAATTAATATGATTCCATTGTTATAGGCGATTATACGTCATTAGGAAATACATAATAATTTTGATATTAAATATCACATAAAATCAAATGGTACAGAAAGCCAAAATCAAAAATTTACTCTTTAGTGATTATATCTATATTTAATAATTTGTGTACATATAGCGGAAGCTTACCCTTTTCCTAACATTAGGGGTCAAGTAGCAATAAATGGCAGTTGAATCTTGCACACAATAAGCACTTTAACACACTTTGAAAAATAAATTTCAATGTTGAAAGCATACTCTGATCATTGCTTCATTACTTTTGAGCTGAAAAGAAGCTACAACAAAGCAATGTGACTTTGCATAAACTTCAAAATTCTTCAGCGTTATTTTAAAGTATACTAACATGAGAATATCACATGACTACGCATAAGTGATAAAAGGGTTTCAGACATTATTGCCTAAGAATGAATTTCCAACATTAGTCATCTGACAAGCATAACCTCAATCTCTCAGCAAATACACGCATGGTAGTAAACATCCTTGTTTCATAAAATTTCAAAACAGAAATCTTCTTAATTGATAAATGAAGGGTGTAGAAAAGTCTAGTATTCCTTTAACTGGTTATAATTTGCAATTAGGTCGACAGATATGACACTGATTGTCAAACTTTCCCATTGCCTTCGCTGTCTTCAAGTAATATTTTTCTGCCTTGAAATTCTGACTCCTTAAAGTCTATTGCGGCGTTCAATGTAGAATAATTTCTTTTTTCCAAATTATGCAGGTATCCATTACGTATGATAAAGGAACCCTACTAAGACTGATAAAGACCTTACTAAGTCACTCACGCTTACTTACTAGACGTTATTTAATCATCATTGATCGTGTCAGTACACGATAGCATTTCATACAATGATTTAAAGATAAAAAAAGCATTTTATTGTTTGTTATTAAAGAATTATTTTGGGAAGTATTATTGTCATATTATTAATTTTTGAACCAATAATTATGCCCAAAGCAAAATTAATACCGTTATGATCTAGTACTTTTGAGTAGCAGTAAATTATTTAAAAGGAATTAATTCCATCTGGAAATTTCAACTGGATAACTACATGCATAAGATGCATGCATAAAAAAGGTATGTCAGCTATTGCAAGGACATTTTATCATAAACAGAAAATTAATAATCAAGAAGAAAAATTTTATTTTACGGTTTATACTTAAAAGAACTAATAGAAACTTTTCTAATGTGATAGCGATTATTATTTTATTTATTAACCTAATATAATTATTCTTAATGAAAAATAGTATTAAGGTAACACAAGCAAGTTAATTTAAACAGCTTTGAGAGTTTAAGTATCCAATGCAAAATTTCCTGAAAGAAGATTAGTTAGACCAAGGGATACAATCTGCGAAAAGTTTGAAAACCTTTAAGTTAATATTCAGCTAGTAACTGGAAGATATATGACTCAATTTCCAGCAAGGGCATAGTTGACTAAATGTATTTAAATGGAAAAAAAAGAGCTTTATACTGCTGGCTCTCAATGTTAATCTAATAAGTTCCAGTTTTATAAATAGGAAACGCTATTATTCCCTATCGAACAAATGTGTGAAATTTTTTATAAAGCTGCTACTTGTGCTTTGAAAGTAGAAAAAAAAATCAAAATATAAAGAGGTTCTTTTAAAAGGAAATTATTTAATTCACACAATGGTTAAAAGTCCATCGACAGTTTCAAATGCATTATGAAATTTAAAACCTGTAAGCAAGATGTTAATTGACCAGTGATGGCAAAGTATCTATCTTGGTAGAAGAACAGAGTTGAGGAAAAGAAATTGTAAAATAATATGTCACCTTTTCTTTTGGATTTCTGTTTTATATATAAATTTTAAAATATAGCAAATTTAAGACGAACGCTGAGTAATTTAATATTTTATGTATCAAAACTTTTCCTTTAACCTAAACAAAAGTCTAATAGCGTATAATATTTCCCTTGTGTATGTAAATGCAATCAGAATCTGTAGTGAAATGTATGCCCTAAATGTGTTATCATGTCGAAGCGTTTTTTAATATTCACCACTTCATTTAACCATGAAAGTACATTTCTTGTCATTTCAATTGTCATGTCCTTGGAGCACTTCTTGTATTCCACATGATATAATGCGGATTTCTAACCATACATCTATATTATGAGTAAGTTAATGTCAGGCTGTAATCAAGAGTTTCCAAAATCTATGTTAATATACTTAAAATTAAAAGCATCAGAGTTCATTGACATCCATTTAGTTTTTACAAAACTGCACTCTTGGAATCCTTATTTATTTATTTACTTATTAACCGAAAGAGACGTTAGCTCAGAAAGGTTATTAGTCTCGAAATAACACTTTGCATTGAATCCCTTAAATGCGAAGTATCACTTTGCAAATCGTTGACACCAAATATTATCGCCCTGTATTATATTTAAAAAAACTAAGAAGTTGCATGAATGTATTTATATTTCTCGCATTTGAATTTGGAATTTACTTTATTGTCTATTTAAGATTTTTGTAAAGCTTGAAAGAATTTTTATTAAAAAATTCAACAGTTTCAAAACGAGCGGTGGCAACACTGTATGGAATAAAACATTTTTATCTGCAGCGCGCGAGACTGTCTATCAATATTCTAAAGATATGTTGTATTTTAAATATTTTCAACCCAAATGGCATTAGCCCCAACGCTCTCGAAACTTGTATGTGTCTCTAAATGAAAAAACTCCCCTTTAAGAGTAATATAAAATATGAAAGCTTTCAGTTTTTTTTATTAATTTATTTATTAGCTCGAAAGAGCTTATAGTCTGGAAGCGGGATTTTTTGATGTTTTACTTTAATTCGTTATTTTACTTTTTATTCAAGTTTGTTGCTATTCGGAAA